ATATTCATATTCACATATATATATATAATTATATATATATATATATGTATATATATATATATATATTCGTATATTATATGATATGGTATGATATGATATGACATGAAATGATATGATATGATATGATATGTGTGTGTAGATGTGTATATATACATATATACATATTGTGTAGTCGGTTATTTGATGGCTTTTGCTCTGATATGTGTTCATGTACTGAAATGTTTTTAAGTAGACATGTTTGTGCACATAAACTTCGACATGTATGCATGAACGAACATACAAGCAGGTAACTCTTACATGCTTACATACATACGAGCATTCAGGCACATGCAAAGTAATGCATGCATGCATGCATGCATGCATACATACGTGCACCTTAAAAACCTCGTAATATATTATTGGTCGAGGAGTCGAGCACTCAAGGGATTGCTTTGTTTTCATGAGCTAGGGTACACTCTGCATAGGTATACTCAACACGGCCGGCTTATTCCGATTTCGACCAGGTGCTGTCTCCTGCATTGCACCCACCTGCCCCAGAGCGCACAATACTACAAGGAGCGACATTGCACGGCAATGGAGGGAGGGGTGTGGCTAGCATGCATTTGAGCCTGTCATCTCAGGAAAGTGTGAGAATGGCCAAGTTCCAAGGAAACCGTGCAGCTTATCACCCTGGGTGAATGCGACGAACCCTTCGATCGCAATCGTCCAAGATGTTCTTTGTGCCTTGCAGTCCTGTCAAAAAGTCGGCGATTCCATGAAACGGGCTCTGCCAAAAGATTCGTTGAATCTGGCACAGAGCCCTGCTTCGGCAAGAGGAGCATGTCTTGAGGCCGTCGGAGTCGAAGCGTCTTGAATCAAGCTGGAGGCAGTCTTGCGGCGTGCTGAGAGACCATCGTCGAGGCATCGAAGAACTTCTTAAGCTGCGACTATTAAGGCCAATGAAGGCCTCTTGTGGACACTGGGGCTACGGGGCCAGTCCGGACATAAACAACGTCGTCATGGCCTCAAGCTCCCTGCGGTGCAGCTCCGCTCGGAGTGCCCCGTCCCCTTTTCTGCGTTGGAGGATCGAGAGCTCCCGAAAGTCGTTTTTGGCCAGAGTAAGGTCTTTGCGTGGTGGACCAGTGCACAGCGATCCGTTCTGCAGGCGCAGCTGTGCGCAGAGAAATGCACCCTTGAAGCCAGGCGCCTGACCCGGCACGACTCCATCCGGAAGGGCCTTTACACCCCATGCTTTCTGCAACAAGAGTTTCAGCATGTTCTGCAGCTCCTGACGCAAGAATTCCAGTTTCTGCGCCCTGGTGGCCGCTTCCCGTTGTCTCTTCTTGGCCTGCCGCTGCTGCTCCTCATGCTGTCTCCTTTCTCTCCTTTCTTGCCGTACTTTGTCCGAGGCCTCCCAAATAGGAAATAGCTCCTCTAGGTCAACTCTCTTATTGCTGCTCGTCGAACGCCTGCAGCGGAAGCAAATACGAATAGGAGGAGACTGGGACTTGGCTCTGCTCGAATGCATCTCAGCGACTGCATCGCCAAGGGCCTCTCTGAAGCTACGGCCGGATGCGCGGTGTTCGTAAAATCGTTGTCGCATGCGAACTAGGCTGATATGCATGTCAATGATCTTGTCCAGGTCCACGCTGCGTTGTGAGAATGCCGCAACTCCCTCAAAACCTACGCTGGTGGTGTAACAGCCGTCAGTCCTGTCGCCCCAGATTCCTCGACGGGGTTTCCTGCCTCTGCCTTGCAGATCGCTGTCCCTGACTGCTCCTCCATGCGCTTCTTCATCTGTAGCCTCGTCTTCAGCGATCGCACAGATGGCCAACAGAGGCTCCCTCGGCTCTGGTGGCTCTGCTTCCTCAGAAAGCTCCTCACTGCAGGGGTCAAACTCGTCCGACGCGAGGAACTCGAGGAGTTTTCGCAGAACCTCCGCAGACATGGACTTGATGCGGACACGGAGTGCCGGCTGGCTCAACCTGAGCAGCTCCCGCACGCAAGTCGCATTGTCCTTGCACTCTTCCGCTGGCTCTTCGGGGCTGTCACTGGGCTTCCCAGCCGGTGCCGTGCCAGGGGTGGCACGAGTCGCATGGCCGTTCTTGCCCTTGGCTTTCTTCGGCGTGCTGCGTGTGGCCTCTTCGGAAGTTCTCTTCGCAGGCGGAGGCGGCTCTTTGGCATCGCCGCTCGGCCCTGCAACCCGGCACTCCTCGCGAGCCGCTCTGGCTTTCGCCAGTTGGACGTCGTAGGCTGCACGGCGCGCGGGATCTGCAAGAGTCTCGAAGGCTTCAACCACGAGCCTGAAAGCTTCCGATGTGCCCCCCTTATCTGGATGGGTGGCAAGTGCCTGCCGCTTGTAGGCAGAGCGCAGCTCCGCTTCAGCGGCAGAGCTGCTCACATTCAAGGCTTCGTAGAAACACGGCATGGGCAAGTCATGAAGGCCATCAAGCCCTCTGCGCTGAACATGTATGCAAACAAACTTATCAGCAGGACTCCAGCAGGAGTTCATGAGAAAACAAGCGCTTTTGCCGAAAGATGCCAAAATCATCGTTCATGAGGTTCTCACAGTTACTGATTCACGTAGCTATACTTCAGTCCCTCTGTGATCCAGAACCTCAGAAGGCTTTTGCAGCAGCCGCACAAAGCCAAAGGCAAAATCATGATAGATGTCGTCGTTGTCCACAGCTGCAGGCAATTATCGCGAAACTCGTGCTGATGACCATACATGCAGGGCTTCAGGACACTCTACAGCCAGATTACATATGCTAACAGCCTGAGCGCACAACACTATCACAAAGCAGACAGGCTTACGGCTAAAAGAAACAAAGCACACCCCAATGCACAAAAATGCCTATAATCCCAACCATAAAAACCCCGGTGGAATTCCCCAAGCCTCAAACCCCAAAAGCCACAAACGTAAGCCCGCCAAATTCCTTACGGAACCATTGAGGACGTAAGGAAAGCCATATACATATATATATATATATATACACACACACACACACATATATATATATATATACATACATACATACATAGAAGTGATAGATCTAGCACCCTTCGAAGATCCCTGCAAGCCGGCCTCTAGTGGCTGGCCCACAGAGCGGCAGAAGTCCTCTCCAAAACATCACCCAGAGGGTCCATATACAATACCATCATGGACTTAGGTCCCAAAAGACTATCCTTAGCATGGCTTTGGGGGGCCTAATTCCATAGTAGTAGTATATATGGACCCTCTTGGTCAGACTTTAAAAGCTACCGGGTTCCATCTTGAGGCTTCCGCTAATAGGGTGTATAGGGTTCGGGATTTTGGGTTTAGGGTTTA